TACAGGGCTGCTGTGGGTCGGAACCGACTCTATGGCACTTAAAAACAACAACAACATATTTGAAAAAGGAAAAACAGAGCAAGCTATTATCAAAGTTTCCTTTTCAAAACAAAATGAAGGGATAGCTCCTGTCAGTGGCAAGCAATGTGAACAAGCAGACCCTATCATGTGTACTGGAAGATATTTCTTCTCAAAGTTAGATCAAATCACTGCTGTAACGAGAATAAACTAGTTTTGGGATATATGTGATATGTGTTGTTGTTGTTAGGTGCCATCGAGTCGGTACCAACCCATAGCGACCTTATGCACAGCAGAACGAAACACTGCCTGATCTTGGGCCAACCTCACTACTGTTGCCACGCTTGAGTCCATCGATGCTGCCACTTGGCCAGTCCACCTCATTGGGGATCTTCCTCTTTTTCTCTGACCCTCCACCTTACCAAACATGGTATCCTTTTCCAGTGACTGGGTCTTCCTGATAATATGTCTGAAGTCTGAGATATGAAGTTTGGCCATCCTGGCCTCCAACGAGCACCCTGGCTGCACTTCTTCCAAAACAGATCTATTGGTTCTTTTGGCAGTCCGTGGCACTTTAAGTATTTTCCTCCAACACCATAACTCAGAAGCATCAATTTTTCTATGGTCTTCCTTATTCACTGTCCAGCTTTTGCAAGCATATGAGGTTATTGAAAATACCATGGCTTGGGTCAGGCACACGTTAATCTTTAACCTGACATCTTTGCTCTTCAACACTTGAAAAAGGTCTTGTGTAGCAGATTTGCCTAATACAATACATCGTTTGATTTCTTTACTGCTGCTTCCGTGAGTGTTGCTAGTTGATCCAAGAAGAATGAAGTCCTTGACAACTTCAGTCTTTTCTCCATTGATAAAAATGTTGTTTATTGGTCCAGTGGTGAGGAATTTTGTTTTCTTTATATTGAGGTGTAATCCGTACTGAAGGCTGTGCTCTTAAGTCTTCGTCAGTAAATGTTTTAAGTCCTCTTCATTTTCAGCAAGCAAGGTTATATCATCTGCATATCGCAGGTTGTTAATGAGTCTTCCTCCAATCCTGATGCCACGTTTTTCTTCAAAGAACCCAGCTTCTCGGATTATTTGCACTGCATAAAGGTCGATTAAGTATGGTGAAAGAATACAACCTTGTCCCACACCTTTTTTAATTTTAAACCATTCAGTGTTCCCATGTTCTGTTCAAACAACTGCTTCTTGGTCCATGTACAGATTCCTCATGAGCATAATAAAGTTTTCTGGAATACTTATACTTCACAATGTTGTCCATAGCTTGTCATGATCCACACAATCGAAAGCCTTTGCGTAGTCAATAAAGCACAGGTAAACATCTTTCTGATATTCTCAGCTTTCAGCCAAGATCCATTGGACATCAGCAAAGATATCCCTCGTTCCATGGCCTCTTCTGAGTCCAGCTTGAACCTCTGGAAGTTTTCTGTCAATGTATGATTGTAGCCATTTCTGTATTACCTTTAGTAAAACTTTACTCACAGGGAATATCAAAGAGATTGTCCGATAATTTCCGCATTCCGTTGGGCCATCTCTCTTTGGAATGGGCGCAAATATGGATCTCTTCCAATCAGTTGGCCAGATAAGTTGTCTTCCAAATTTCTGGGCAGAGATGAGTGATTGCCTCCTGTGCCGCCTCACTTTCTTGAAAGATTTCAATTTTATTCCATCAATTCCTGGTTCCTTGTTCTTTGCCAATTCCTTTAATGCACCTTGGACTTCTTCCTTCAGTATTATT